ACGTACCCTCGCGTCGTAGACTTTCTTCAGTGCATCGTATCTAATGGAACCCAGGAAAATGACACCCTGTATGGCGCCTTCTCTATCGGACGCCACCAATTCCACGCATACCATCTCTCCATCCCTGACTAGAATATCACAGAATACTTCGTCGAAGTTATCCACCATGAAACATATGTGCGGGTACGTCATCTCTTCGAGATCGCCCTTCGCATCCATTCGCCTTCGACTCGGACTCGCGTACACCTTTTGCGAATGCCTTCGTAATACCTAAAGACGTTTATAAAAATACCTCGAGTAACAGACTAGTTTTAGACTTACTACGTTATAATATTTTTCAAATTTTAATAGAATGCGATTATTATAAGTTTTATTGTTGAAAAATCATACAGTTATTGCATCCTCAATTTTTAATAAATAGTTCTAAGTATTAAAAGCAATTATACCAATAATTCCTGTATCAATTTGGAAATTATATTTAATAAATTTGGCTAATTAACTTACTTGCAATTCCTTAGGACTTGTCCTTGTGCAAATCGCTAACGTGAGCGTGTAGTCGAACTGATGTACGACCAGGTTCAGGTACACGGTTTCCTCCCAATCGATGTCGGGATCGCCGATCGGCAGTTTCTTGCTGTCTTTGCGGAATACATCGACCTCGGTCTCGAACTTCGGCAGATATCGCGACGACGTCTTCACGTGTTTTTTCCTAACGAAGAAGAGAAGGTCGTCGCCGTCGATCGTGTGCTCTCCTTGGAAGAGAAAGTGTCTGACGAATAAATCCGTCCAATAGGTTGTGCCTTGAAGAATCACGAAACCGGAGTCTGAAATTTTTCGTTCATTACAATTGTTGCTCTTTTTTTATATGATTTTTATCTATTATTATTATTATTATTGATATTATTCATTGGCTTTAGTATCGTATCTTTACTGAAATAGAGAAAGTATTTCGCTATACTCTGTGGAAATAAATCGTCGGAATGAATCGTGAAGAAAAGGAATTCTCAATTTTCTATCTAGGCGATATATGGTTGGCATTTCTAATTTCGCAAAGATGGAGCGATCGACCCGGTATTACCCGTGAAAGAACAGCAGAACAATATATTTCTCAGGGACTAACGGGCGACCGAATCTCGACGGAGGGAATCGATAATCGATAAGAATGTTCCTCGAAGACTTAATTGCAGCCTCCTCAACGGAAGCCGGCATCTCTTCATTAAAGCCCCGCGTGCTCTTATTAAAAAAAGCTAATCGAAAGTTCGCTTCTTCAACCCGTCAGCTAAATTGATAAACACCTTACTATACTATGTTATACTCATATCATAAAGAGTGTAATGAGAGTCTTTTGCGACGTATGGCATTATTAGCACCGGTAATGAGTCATACGCGAAGCGTGCATTTCAAGTAGCCGCCGACTAGCCGTCACGTCATATTGCATTTATAGAACGAACGTGCTTGTGACAATTGTCCATCGTTGTTTCCAATTATTCCCACGTTAGTAGATTGTCAGCATGGGATAAGAGTATTAAAAAATAAATTACGTGGGAGTATGTTCGAGCTTGGTTGAACGCAGAACAGGAGTTAAAAACAAAACACGTTTGTTTTATATATGTATCATTCTTATTCCATATAGCTGAGTCACCGCGATTAAGAAGAATACAAATTTATTTTGATTTCAATATATTCAATTTTTCAGATATTCCGCATGTACATTTAGGAAGCAGTTTTGCTTGTTTTCCCTTCATCGATCGCGGAAATCACCCTCGCTTGGCAGTCGAATGAAGGGACTCGGACCCTACAAGAAGGAACACACCCTCGCGCGTTTCCCCCATGCAACCCTCGGTGAAACCGTGTAAATGTCGCTTAAACCCTTCTTAAGTATTATACGTGTACTTCAACTTTAACGTGCACGCACCGTCCTTGAGCATCTGCCGTAACTCCTTCGTTCTTTGGAAATTGATCTCTTCGAGAAGCTGCTCGAGCATGGTCGGAGGCCTGGACAGACCCGACGACGAGCTGCCCGCCAGAGTGGCCATGATCCCTCGTGTTCGTGGTCCACGTTCTCTCCTCTTCGTGTCCGCTAGCGCACACACGCACGGGAATCACGGCTGACCGAAACACACGGAACCGTACGGAACTACAAAGGTCATCGCGAACCGGTTGCGATCGGCATTCTATTTCCTCGTTTCTCGCAAGATCCACGAAGCTGCCGATGATCTATGATAGACGAGAGGATCTATCGAAACTGTTCTTGAAGAGCCATCGCCAATTCGTCTCACTGATAAAAAGAAAGCGAGACTTAAGAAAAATGACAATCCGCGCGTTTATCCGTTCGCAGCATTGAGTCTCGTCGTCTTCTAGCTGCTGCTACGGCACTCGAGTTTACGCTTAGTACGACGTATGAACGGGAACCGGGCCGGATGACTCGACTTCACTACGAGGAGGTCGATAGTTCGGCGCATGCGAGACCGCCTCCACGCCTCGCTCGCGTCAGCGACCCGCTCCTTTCGAATAAGAATGTCTTTCCAGGTGAATTAACCAATCGCAATCGGTATCGTTGCAACCTTTTCGTTTTAACAAGTCAGTAAATGCTGATAAATATCAGGAGAACAATTATTATTGAACATTTTACACGGTTTAACTAATAAGTGAGTGGTCACAATCCTTGACCAAATGACCTTGGAACTGGATATTTAAAATCGGAAATTATCACTCTTTTCTCTCAATAATTTAATGCACGTAAAATAAGATGAATTAAGAATTAAGAGAGGACGTTCAAACGACAAGATTCGATATCTCAATTTGTTTTCAGAAATATGGGTTAGCAAAATCTCATCGTTCAAACGCCCAGTTTGTAAACCCGGCGCGAAATTCCGTTCCTGGAATCAAGGGGTTGCTTCCTGGCAACACGTCTAAGTGTCTGATCGGTGTGGGGCAGTAGGTAACGGGGTCAAAGTGCGAGAGAGAGGTGTAATCCGCGTAGAACAGCGACAGCGATGATGAAAAATCACGGTTGTTTTTATACGACGATATCCTCGGAACCGGAAGTCGGACCGGGACCAAGCAAACAGCGTTTTAAAAGGGATGATTCTACGCTTCTAATCGCTGTAGTTTCGTCCAATTCTGGTTATATATTTGAATGTTATAAACAGTTAATTAACAGACTTGAATATTAGGATTTTAAAAAAACATCTTCACGTTATTACGTATAATGCATCGACTTAATATAATTCGAAATATTTATGCCAGTGCAACTGGCATACCGAGTTTTGCTACATAAGGAAAATATGCTGTGCCAATCCGGAGAATATGCTAGTCGTCAAGATGTAAGAGTGACGTAAATAAGGTAATCAGAATCGCGATTTTGAGCGAGCTTCGTGTCAGCGATCCAGAAGAAAAGGACTTTAATAAATATGGTAGTGGGCATTTATCCGGCACGCGTTATCTTGAAGGAAAGTCGCTTCCATAGAGATATGGTGACCCGAAACTGACCTCGTGACACAAGATAGTGGTTGTTAACAAGATCCCATTGTTTCAACATCGTCGTACATACTCCTCTCGCACATAAAGTACATTTGTATTATTTCTTTATTTTACATATCAAGCCATTAAATCTACAAATTTGAGGTTTAATGATTATCTGCAAAATTTGACTCGGACATGTTTATACAATTCCCATTTGGTACGTGTGAGCAAGATTTCCAATGGAGATTAGTGGGCGAAGGCTCCAGGCGAGTTTCTACAGTGGTTATTTTTCAAATCGTCATCAGAGACTGCTGACACTCGCTGATTAGCGATACGGACCTCCGGTTCGTCGTCTCGTTTAGTCGTTCATGATCGTCCTCTCCTCTCGTTTGACATCTTCGCTCCGACTCGTCGCGCTCCAAACGCAAAAGGATTGAGCAATCGTGACAACCAGTCTCGCGTGCAGGTGCGTGATTTCACTTTTTTTTTCCCAATCAATGCATCCTCTATTTCAAAGATGCACGTATCAGATGATTCATGTACCTCGACGTCGTAAATTGTTCATTTATTTGCTTTTGAGTCGATCGAAATCGACGCTGAGAACTGGCGTGTTAGGTAACAGGTGAAATGTGCATGCATCGAATTTGACCGCGGGCGGACACCCCGAAGCGGTGGAATCGCGAGCGGCGCGGCGCGCGTGCTGTGTGAAAGGGCGAGCCTCATAAAAGAAGCTGCGTCCCGTTCCGTCCCGACACTTCGAACGTTCTAATTCGTCACGACGAGTTCAAACGGCGGCCTTCTCTAATATAACTAATAAACGGTGCGTTCCTCGCTAAACCTGTGCGAAGGCAGTTTGTGGGCAGAAGCGGTGTAATTTCATTTGTGGCACGTAATTCAGGCGCGGTGCGGATCGAGGAGAGACCTCCGGTAAATTGGCTCCTTAGAATTGTCATCACGTAATTCGACTCGATTCACACGGTCGTGGATTAGCTAAGAATACGTCTTCGTCGTTATTTGCTTATCAGACTGTTCCTTATCTTCGTAGCGTGACGAGCCTTGGACAACGAAACAAACAAAACTGGATTTATATAATCGTGATTTTCATTTTTAATAATCGATTAATTCTATTCATGAAGCTTTTGCAATTTATTTGTAACTGTAATTAGGCTTTGTCTCATAGTCACAATTGTTGTAATCGTTAACGAGCGGTGTGAATCACTTGATATCAGTCAACGAGTCACTCGCTGGCGGTAATTTTGATCCTGGGCTTCGTGGATGGATCACGTCTATCTCGAGTCTATCGCGGTCACGTTGCAATTACGATTAGTACTACTTACTCAAGTTTTTATATAGAGTTTTCAATGACGCCAGTGAGATTGATTTAAAAATTGATTTTTTTAAAATCCAATCTCGAGCTACTAACAATTTCAATACGTGTGTTTTGAACAGATTGTCCTGCTCTAATTGTGTGTTACATTCTTTCGAATAAAACGCAGCGTTGCTTCCATGAAAATTTCACCATTTAACTTTCTCTCAAGCTTTTACTCATCTCATGATCGTTGCATTATTTATCACATGAATCCATATACAAGGTGAACCAATACAAATAATCGTATAAAATAAATAATTGCTCGTTTATCTCATTAAAAGACTCTTTCTAAGAATTGTGTATTAAATTTAATTCATTCTTTTATTTTAATCAATTAATGGTGTCTCATAATCAGATTGTGAATTTTTATGTAAAATAAACTATTTATAGTGTCAGTTTAAAAAATGTACTTCTATCTTCTAAACGTTGCAATATTTGGTACTTCGTATATTGCTGTGCATCACACGCAGTGTTCATACCTTTTGTACATTCGATTTCCTCACGAATGCACGAAATCCGGAGTCTATTGATAAGTGTGACAATGGATGGAGGCGTTTGAGCATTCTCGCCGGTCTCCAAGATCTCAAGATGGAATATACTACATAATACCGGAAATACGCGGTGGTTTCCGTTTGCCAAAACAGGGTGTCCCTGTTTCTCCAATTATTCCCGAGAAGTCCGCCGTTCTAGAAATCTACACGTACTTACATGTCGAGAGCCGGTTCGGTTCGACCCACTTTTCTGGCGTTACGCTCGCGTGTGTAATCCCATGAATCTTCAGTCCTCCGCGCGATCATTAGCTTTCCTCGGCGTTCGCTTATTGTATTCGTCTCGGTCTCCCGAGCACGCGCGCGTCCTCCGCGATACGATTCATCTCTCAGGATCTGCCTCGAAATTTATATACAGATACGTCCCACAATAGACACGCATGAATTCCACCAACGCTATAATTAGCCGACTGATTACGACTTCGTGAGAAAGTGTGTATATAATGAAATGCGATAGTACTTACACCCCGTTCGTAAGTCATATCGCCTGTCGAAAGGCCTGACAAAGATTTTTAATTCTCGATTATCAGAAAATTCATTCATTGTAAAATTATAGTA